GTGTGTGTGTTGACTTGTAGGAGTTGAGAGTTTGAATGTTAATCCTTTGATGGTCATATTTCTTACATACGTCTTTTCCCAGTTTATGGCTTTCTTTTCACCTTTTTTTTAACCACCATAATAGAAGTTATCAGTTTTAATGTAAATATATTTACTAATATTTTATTTTATAGTTAGTCTTCCATATATGTATATATCTAAATCTCATTCCATGGTAGGAAAGATATTCTATTTTTTTCCTAGGAGTTTTAATGCCTTGCCTTTTATCTTTAAGTCTTTAATTCATAGGAACTTGGCTTTTGTGCATGGTGTGGTGTAGAAACCCTTCTCCCCCCCTTTTTTTTATTCTCATGTAGATAAACAGTTGTCCCAGCACTATTTACTGAAAAACTCGTTTTCTCCTCTTCCCTTTCCCAGTCTGGGATAACACACTTGTCATCAGTTTCCCATATCTGTGTGGGTTTGTTCCTGGGCACTCTCTTCTATCCAAGTGATCAATGTGTACATTGATAGAATACTGTCTTAATTACTGTGACTTTTATAAGTTTCAGTATCTGATAGTGAAACTCTCCCAACCTATTCTTCTTAAGCAGAATATTAGCTATTCTTGTTGTTGTTGTTGTTAGGTGCTGTTGAGTTGGTTCCGATGTACAAACAGAATGAAACACTGCCTGGTCCTGCACCATCCTCACAATTGTTATTATGCTTGAGCCCATCATTGCAGCCACTGTGTCAGTCCATCTCGTTGAGGGTCTTCCTCTCTTTGGCTGAGCCTGTTTCTCTGATTTTTTTTTTTTTTAAATAATTTAATAAGCTGAATCTAAAGTTTATCTGTAAATGCAAAAACTTAAGAATAGCCTCCTCCACCCCAAAATGGGCATTCTTAAGCCTTTACATTTGCATATAAATTTTAGATTGAGCTTGTTAAATTATTTAAAAAAAAAAACAAAGAAAACCTCATTAAGATTTTCATTGAAGTTGCGTTGATGTGATGAGAACTGACATCTTTACAAAATTGATTTCTTCCTGTTTCTAAATACTGTTTATCTCTGCCATTATTGTCTTTGTAAATGTCTTCTACTAAAGTTTGTATTTTTTCTCTGTAAAAGGTTTCACATCTTATATGAAGTTTATTCCAGATTACTTATAATTTCTTTGCTGTGATAAATGATATTTTTAAAATTAGGTTTTCTAAGTATTTATTGGTTATATTGATTTTGTTATATTGATCTTATATCCAGCCATCTTTCTAAACTTTCCTTAATTCAATAATTTATGTAGATTATTTAAGATTTTCTTTGTGGACACATGTATCATCTTCAAACAATGTCAGTTTAGGTTCTCCCTTTTCAGTTTTTAGTTCTTCGTCTTTATTTGCTTACTAAACTAGGTAGATTGTGATAATAGACATCCTGTTCTTATTCTAGATTATAAAGGGAATGCTTCCAACATGTCCCCATTAAGAATAATGCTTTATAGGTTCCTTTAAAAATCTAAGTTAAAGATTTCTTCCTTTTTACTATTTGTCATGAATAGGTATTAAAAAAAAATTATTATGGTAAAAATATATATAATAAAAAACTTGTCATTTTAACCATTTTTTGGTGCATAATTCAGTGACATGACATTCACCATGTTGTGCAACCATCATCGCTATATATTTACAAAACTTTTTCGTTACCCCAAACAGCCACTCTGTACCCAACAGGCAGGGACTCCCCATTCCACCCTCTTTTAGCCCCCTGATAACCACTAGTAAACTTTTGTCTCTATGAGCTTCCTTATTCTAGATATTTCGTTAAGTGAGATCATAGAATATTTTTAGTTTCGTGTGTGACTTATTTCATTCAGCATGGTGTTTTCAAAGTTCGTTCATGGCATAACGTGTCAGAACTTCCTTTGTCTTTATGGCTGAGTAATATTTCATTGAATGTATGTACATTCATTTGTTGTTGGGCATTTCCATTTTTTCCACCTTTTGGCTATTATGAATAATACTGCAATGAACATCGATGTACAAGTATTTGTTTGAGTCCCCGCTTTCAGTTCTTCTGAGTATATACCTAGGAATGTAATTCTGCATATAACTTTTTGAGGAACCACCAAACTGTTTTTCACAGCAGCTGCACCATTTTGTATTCCCACTAGCCATGTACAAGTGTTACCTTGCTAACACTTGTTATTTTCTGTTTTTCTAATACTAGCCATCCTAGAGGGTGTGAAGTGGCATCTCACTGTTGTTTTGATTTGCATTTCCTAATGGACAATGACATTGTGCATCTTTTCATGTGCTTGTTGGCCAATTGTATATATAGTTTTAGAGAAATGTCTTTTCAAGTCTGCATTCCTAGTGAGTCCCAGTTCTAATGTCAGCTGTGTTGTGTGGAAATCTCAGAATCCTACTATTCTGTCCTCACCTATGAGGATACAACAAATCCTCACTTTCTCACTTCTCTGTTCAGTTCCGACATCAGCTGCCCATGTGCCACTTCTTTCTCTGACCCTAGCCACCCAGAGCTAGGTCAGATTTCACAAGTTAAAAGGACAGCATCCTTCAGACTGCTAAATAGCTGCCAGCTGCAAGTTTAGGAGTCCACACGACACCCTAACTTCTAATCTGATAGCTTCCACTACTCCTTTGGGTTTGGTAATTCATTGGGATGACTCACAGAGCTCATGGAAAGTGCTACACCTGCAGTTACAACTTTTATAGCAAAAAGGATGTAAATTAAGAGATGCATAGGATGAGGTCCGGGAGGGTCTGCAATGTGGAGCTTCCATGTCCCAAAGGGTGCATTACCCTCCCACGTGCATGGATAGCTTTCACCAACCAGGAAGTCCATGGAGCTTCCGTGTTCATAGCCTTTATTGGCTTCATTATGTAGGCATAATTGATTGAATCGTACCCCCTCCCTCCCTAAGATTAGCTGATATCAGGCTACCAGGTGGTCTTTGTGGTCTGGCCATCCATCCTCCTACTCATTTGCACAAATCCTCAGGTATTATCTGGAGGCTTTAGATAATAAAGGTACCTCGATTACTCAGGAAATTCCAAGAGCCTAGAGTTCTGTCTCAGGAAACAAGGGCAAGACCACATTACTTTAGGTAAAGTTAAATTCTTAACACCACAAAGTCTTTTACCCATTTTTAAATTAGGTTTTTTTTTTTTTTTTTTTTCGTCATTGAGTTGTTGTAATTCTTTGTATATTCTGGATATTAAACCCTTATCAGATATATTAAGCCTTGAATTTTATTAAAAATTTTTCTACATTTTTTGAGATGGTCATATGTTTTATCTTTTACTCTATCAATGATGAATTACAGTTACAGATTTTCTAAAGTTAAACCACCCTCGTATTCCATCAATTAATCTAGCTCGTTCATATGGGCTAATTTATTTTGTTTAGTATTTTTGTATCATTAATATCTGAGAGTGATCTATAATTATCCTTGTACTGTCCTTGTCTAGTTTTGCTATCAAGTTATACTTGACACTAAGAATGAGTTGGGATGTGTTGCTTCTTTTTCTCTTTTTAAGAGGTTGTCTAAATTTGGAAAGAAACAGTTGTTAAAAATTTGCGTGTATAAAATCTTGGTATGCTGTTTTCTTTGTGGAAAGGTGTTTAATTACTAGTTTAACTTCTTTAATGTTTATAGGACTTTTCAGATGTTCTCTTTTCTTTTTATGCAGTATATGTATTTTAAGATGAGTTTTTTAATTGTGGTAGATATATAGATAGTAAAACATTTGCCATATCAACAATCTTCACATGTACAGTTCAGTGACATTAACTGTGTTCATCAAGTTTTTCAACTACCACCATTAAAAAAGAAAACAACTGATTTGCCGTTGATTTGATTCTAACTCATAGCGACCCTATAGGACAGAGTAGAAGTGTCTCATAGGGTTTCCAAGGAGCGACTGGTGGATTTGAACTGCTATCCTTTTTGGTTAGAAGCCATAGTTCTTAACCACTGCACCAACACCATTAAGCATTCCTAAATTTTTCGGTCACCCTTATCAGAAGCTCAGTGTTTCCTAAGCATTGTGTTTCCCTTTCCCCCTTCCTCCTGCCTGCCCATGGTAACCATTAGTAAGCTTTGGTCTCTATGCATTTGCCTATTCTTGATATTTCTGTTTTTATTTTTCTAGGGGTTTGACTTTTTGTCTGAGTTTTCAAATTAAGTTGTTCATAAGTTTTATTTATATTTTTAATATCTGTAGCATCTCTGTTTATGGTCAGCTTTCATTTTCTATTATTGTTTAGCTCTTACTTCTCTTATTTTTCCCTAAATAAATCTTGTAGACATTTGCTATTTTCTTAGTCTCTTCAAAGAATGAACTTTTGACTTTATTGATTCTATTGTATGATTTTTTTCTGTTTTACTAACTTCTCTTTATTGTTTTCTTCTTTTATTATTATTATTTTATTATAATCATTATTATTTTCTTTCTTTTTTATGAAGTCCAGTGTATCACTGTTTTTCTTTTATAGATAGCATGCTTTCGATGTTGTATCTAACTCGTGGCCTACTCCAAGGTGACAGATATTTTCTCCTGTGTTTTCTTCTAAGAGTTTTATGTTTATGTTTTGTATTTAGATTGATGATTCATTGAGTCCATTTTTGTTTGTGACTCTTTACATATGAACGTTCAGTTGTCCAACACAATTCGTTGAAAAGATCATCCTTTCATTGAATTCTTTTGTACCTTTGTCAAAAATCAGTTGATCATATTTCTATGGGTCTATCTCTGGACTCTTTATTCTGTTCCATCGTTCTAGGTTTCTTTCCTTTCACTAATACCGTACTCTTTTAATTAGTTTTATAGTAAGTCTTAAAATTGGGTATGTGAGTCTTCCAGCTTTCTTCTTCTTTTTCTAAATTGTTGTAGCTCTTCTAGTTCATTTGTACTTTGATATCAGTTTGGAATCAACTTGTTTATATCTACAAAAATGCTGCTGGAAGTTTGGTTGGGATTGCATTTCTTCTGGGTGGTGATGAAAGCCCCGACTTTCTGGTAGGCCTCCTCTGACCCCACCCCAGCAGGCAGGGGGCACATGGTTGATCCAAGTCTAGGATAAATGAAGCACTTTTTATGTTCCAAGTCTAGGATATATGAAGCAAAAAAAAAACCCTCTACGTAATTCTAGAGGTACCTAGCTAGTCTGCTTTCTCTTTGCCTTTAAGAATCTTATGTTTGTTTTGTATATAATGTGTCAGGTTTTTAGTTGTACTTAGCAAGAAGAATAGGTAAAAGCATGTTTACTCTATCTTCCCAGAAATGAAAGTTCTGTTATTTAATTTTTAGTGTATCATTTATTCTTAAATGCTTCATGCACATGTTGCAATCACTGATAATTCCAATAATTGAAGTCCTTCAGGCTCTCTATAAGAAGTCCTGGTGGCGAAATGGTTAAGCGTTCGACTGCTAACAGGAAGGTGGGTGGTTGGAACCCACCAGCTACTCCACTGGAGGAAAGACCTGGCAATCTACTCCTGTAAAAATTAAGCCGTTACCTGTTGCTATCGAGTCGATTCCAACTCATAGCGACCCTATACCTAGGAAACCCTATGGGGCAGTTCTGCTCTGCTCTCTAGGATCTCTATGAGTTGGAATTGACTCGAGGGTACACAACAACAACGACAGGCTCTATGTTATTCTTTCTCCGTATTCTTAGTCTTGATTTGTCTTCATGTGAATTTGCAGTTTGTAGGTGTATGTGTGTGTGAGTGAGTGAGAGAGAGAGCATGCATGCACAGATGTGCAAGCACTCATTGACTGAACCTTATCTGTGAGAATCCGGAGGTAATAAGTTGGGATAGTTGTGCTCCAAAGAGGATTTGCATTGGCCTCTGATGTGAGTCAGCGGGTGCTAACAGGCTGTGTGACCACTTCAGCCAGCTTCCAAGTCCTTTCACTGAAAGTGGAAATCTGAGGTGGCAAGCCCCCACTTTGTTGTGTAAACTTGGCTGCCAGATCTTGGAGGTGGTATTTGCATTTGTCACCAGGACTTAATACTGTCTCTATGTTCGCTGTTTATTGATCCCTGATCAGATTTCTGCCACTTTTGCTAGATTTTTTGGGAAAGGCCAAGGGCTTTGGGTGGCGGAACCTGCTTAGTTGTGTTACTTAAAAAATATGTCTGGGAACAAAAGAAGTATGTTTGTTGTCGTTAATCCAGGTTTTAATCTGTAGCAGGGACTCTTCAGGTTATCTTGTTTGCTAGTATGCTGATTCCCAGCAAATTCCAATATTAATTGTCTATATATTCTCTCGTTAGAAATTCTCCTACTAGTTAATGTCTCTGTTTTTCTGGTCTTTCCATAGTGATGAGAGGGGAGTAATTATGGTACTGTGCTCCTAGTATTCTGACTGATCTGTTTCTCAATTTCCTATTTAGGGCAGAAAAGACTGAAGTTCTGAGTGAAGACCTCCTTCAGGTAAGCTCTTAGCTCAAAGACACCAAAGATGCTTTGCTTCTAAAACTAAGCCATTCCCAATGCTGTTTAAACTTCTCAAGCCACTGCTAATACAGACTGTTTGGAAGTACAGCTTTTTATTCTGGATCACAGCACAGTGATTTCAGTGAGATCTTCCACTAGAAATATAAGGCCATTTCAGTGCAGGGTTAGCGGGGATACCAGAGTCTGCTATCCCTCCTCCTCCAGTTCTCCACGTTTGGGTGTTGTCCCCCAGCTTTCCTTGTCTTTGCGGACACATGGGTCAGAGTCCTTTCCCAGGGTTGTCCGGACCCCACAACCCCATTTCTCCGGACCTTGCCCTCTTCCCATTGATACCACCCACTGTTCTACTGCAGGTGGAGAAGCGCCTGGAGCTAGTGAAGCAGGTTTCCCACAGCACCCACAAGAAGCTGACTGCATGTCTTCAGGGCCAGCAAGGGACGGAAGCCGACAAGCGCTCAGTAAGTGCCCTCTTAGCTGTTCAGTGTGGCTGTTCATTAAAAAAAAAAAAAAAAGTTGCCTTTGAGTGGATTCCAACTCATGGTGACCCCATGTGTGTCAGAGTAGAACTGTAGTCCACAGGGTTTTCAATGGCTGATTTTTTCAGAAGTAGATTGCCAGGCATTCTTCTGAGGCACCTCTGGTGGACTTGAACCTCCAGCCTTTCGGTTAGCAGCTGAGCTTGTTAACCATTTGTACCATCCATAAAAACAAAAACAAAAAAGGTTGCCGTCAAGTCGATTCCAACTCATAGTGACCCTATAGGACAGAGTAGAACTGCCAAAAAAGTTTCCAAGGCTGTAATCTTTATGGAAACAGACTGCCACATCTTTCTACCATGGAGCTGGGCTGGTGGGTTTGAACCGCCAACCTTTCAGTTAGCGGCCAAGCACTACAGTTACTGTACCACCCATATAGCCATTTATATGTCTGAGCATCCAAGCAGCCCAGGCTCCTTGTTTCTGTGGTATGGCCATGCTTCCCGCCACTTTGGCTCTTGAGCTGTACCTGAGATGTCCATCGTCCTCACTAGGCGAGTGAGACCCCTCTGCTATTCCCCCCAGAGTGGAACAACCAGGAGGATAGCAGGAGCATGCTTGAGACCCCATCTCGAGGGAAGCTTTATCTTTGATGGTCCTCTTGTTTCTGCTTCAGCTCCTTCCTAGAGTCCATTTGTCTCATGTGTGACTGAACACATCATGGAGAAAAATCATGCTGCAGATTTGGGGGTTGCAAGTGACCTACAAGGACCCTTGAATATTGCTTTTGGTACAGTGAGACAATTCAGCATCTCTTCTAACATCCATTTTGGTCTTTTCTTTCTTTCCTGTCTTTTTAATGACCTCTTGCTTTCTTCATGTATGATAATCCCTTTTGTCATTCCATAACTTGTCTGGTCTTTAGTCGTCAGTGTTCAGTGCATCAAATCTATTCTTGAGATAGTCTCTAAATTCCGGTGGGATATTCAGAGTTGTATTTTGGCTCTTGTGGACTTTATAATTTCCTTCAGCTTCAACTTGAATTTGTATATGAGTAATTGATGGTCTATTCTGCAGTCAGCCCCTGGCCTTGTTTTGACTGATGATACTGAGCTTGCCATCATCTCTTTCCACAGATGTAGTCGATTTGATTCCTGTGTTTTCCATCTGGTGAGGTCCACATGTATAGTTGTCATTTATGTTGTTGAATAAAGGTATTTGTAATGAAGAAATTGTTGGTCTTGCAAAATTCTATCATGAGATCGCTGGCATCATTTCTATCACCAAGGCCATATTTTCCAACCACCAGTCCTTCTTTGTTTCCAGCTTTTGCATCCCAATCAGCAGTAATTAATCAGTGCATCTTGAATGCATGTTTGATCAATTTCAGACTGCAAAAGTTGGTAAAAATCTTCAATTTCCTCATCTTTGGCCGTAGTGGTTGGTGCGTAAATTTGAATGATAGTGGAATGAACTGTTCTTCCTTGTAGGTGTATGGATATTATCCTGTCACTGACAGTGTTGGACTTCAGCATAGATCTTGAGATGTTTGATGATGAATGAGACATCATTCCTCTTCAAGTTGTTATTCCTGGCATAATAGGCCATTTGATTGTCTGATTCAAAATGGCCAATACCAGTCCATTTCAGCTCACTAATGCCTAGGCTATTGATCTTTATGTGTTCCATTTCATTTTTGATGACTTCCAGTTTTCCTAGATTCATACTTCGTACATTCCATGTTCTAGTTATTAATGGATGTTTGCAGCTGTATCTTCTCATTTTGAGTAGTGCCACTTCAGCAAATGAAGGTCCCAAAAGCCTGACTCCATCCACGTCATTAAGGTTGACTCTACTTTGAGGAGGCTGCTCTTCCCCAGTCACCTTTTGACTGCCTTCCAACCTGAGGGTCTCATCTTCTGGCATCATACCAGACAATATTCTGCTGTTGTTCCTAAGGTTTTCACTGGCCAGTTTTTTCAGAAGTAAGCCATCAGGTCCTTCCTCTGAGTCTATATTAGTCTGGAAGCTCAGCTGAAACCTGCCCACCATGGGTGAACCTGCTGGTATTTGAAATACCAGTGGCATATTCCCAGCATCACAGCAACATGCAAGACACCACAATATAACAAACTGACAGACCTGTGAGAGTTCCTAAAATTAGCCAATGAAAACCCTGTGGATCACAGAATATTGCCCCATACTTCAACTCACTTACTTTGGACATCATCAGGTGGGACCAATTGCTGGAGAAAGACATCATTTTTGCTAAAGTGAAGGTCCAGCAAAGGTGAGGAAAACCTTCATTGGGATGGATTGACACATGGGCCACAACAGTTGGACTCAAAAGGTGGTAGGTCTGTGGGCAGTAGTGGTTCAGTGTCAGAATTCTTGCCTTCCGTGCAGGAGATCCGGGTTCATTTCCCATCCAGTGCACTTCATGCACAGCCAACGCTCATCCATCAATGGAGGCTTGCCATAATGATGATGTTGAAAAGGTTTCAGCAGAGCCTCCAGACTAAGATAGACTAGAAAGAAAGGCCTGGTGATCTTTTGAAAATCAGCCGATGAAAACCCTGTGGATCACAACTATCTGATTTGCCACCAATCGTGGGGATGGAGCAGGACCAGGCAGCAATTCGTTCCACTAAACTTCAAGAGTCAGGCTATTCAACTGCAGCTGACAACAACAAATAGAAGAGAGCAGACAAAGGAAGGGTGGATGAAGGAATAACAGTCCAGCCCAGGACAGGGAGGGGAAGACACGGAGCTGAGGCTGCTGCAGTTAATGCTCCTGCACTCCAGGCAGAGAGTCTCAGGGTGTCCACCAGTCTGCTGTGGTTCTTTTCAAAACAGGTCACCTGTCACTTTTGTCACTTTTCCTTCAACAGGTTCATCAGCTCATAGCAGTTCAGTTATGGTTTGACACACTTAAACATTTATCACCAGCCTTTAAAGGTTCAGGTCTGAAAGCTGTGGCTAGCTACCGCACGTGTTGGTGGCGGGGGGTGGGGGTTTGCCACGATCTCAGTGACCAGAGCAGTGTTACCCCATGGACACTTAGCTCAGCTGGGTTCCTTACATGGATGGGAAGAGAAAGGATATGAATTATGTTGCCATTTTGCCTCCCTTAATCAAGGCAAACTGCTAGTTAGTTCACAGGTTTTCATTTTGATTAAGACTCTGAGTATGATAAAAATATTTGTTTTGTCACAATCCTCGCATTTCTCATCACAAAGTCAAGCTCCACAAATACACTGTTAATGTGAGAAAGTGTTTCTCCACCTTATTCAACACATGTTTAGGAAGTACCAGGTCTGCCATGCAAGGCAGTGTACATGCCAAGGATCCTTGTCCTCTGGAAGCTTACAGGCTCAAGGGAAGCAGCCACTACACTCAGAAAGGTGCTGAGAAGAACGGCTTACCAGGAATTAACTAGTACAACGTTTCCTCGAGGATAAACGAAAGCTGGCAGCGCCAGCAGGGTGACAGTGCTTCTAGGACAGGGTGTGGCATGTGCAAAGTTCCCAGATACAGGAAGCACTCTGACAAACACACAGGTGGCCAGAGTGACTAGGGTATGGAGAGAAGGGAGGTGAGGGGCAAGAGATGAGACTGCAGGGACCTTGGAGGTCATGGTCAGGAGCTGGGCATCATCCCTCAGAGCAGCGGGAAGCCAAAGTTGAATTAGATGGGGTATCACAATCACATCTGTTGGCTATTGTGTGAATCATGGATTACAGCAGTGGAGGAAATAGGAGTGCCAGTTTGGTAAATACTGGAGCAGACTACTGAGGCAGGATGGAGACAGTCAAGATAGAGGGAAGTTGCAGATTGGGTAGCTATTGGTGGACTTGGTAATCAAATAGATGTGAAGCATGGAAAGGGGTTTCAGGGTCTCAGGCGTGAGTGACTGTTGAATCCATGGGAGTGGATGAATCACCCAGGGAGAAAATACAGGGTGAGGAGACAAAAGGCCATTGATCAAGTACCCCTGCACCTAGAGCATCTAAAGCTTTTTAAGCTCAAACAGTGGGAAGATCTAGCAGAGTAAGAGAGTACTGCACATCCACCTAATTTCTCAAGTCTAAGTGTTAGATTTATCCTAAATATTTATTCTTCACTTTCCATACTCCCCACATCCAATCTTTCAGTAAGCCAGCTGACTCTACCTCCAAAGAATACCCATTTACTTGGCTTTTTCCTCTCTAGTCCAAGACACTGTCATCTCTTGCCTGAACACAACGGTTCCTATCAGATCTTCCACCCTCAACTCCTGCCCCTCACCCTTCCCCTTCATAATCCAGTCTCTGTAATGGCCTGAGCAAGTGTTTAAAATGGAAGCCGGCTGATGCCACTCTTCTGTATGAATCCCACCAAAGTGTTCCTATTATACAATAAAATCCAGACTCTTGACCTTTACCCCTAGACCCCAGTGACAGGTCCTCTCCTGCGTCTCTGAGCTCAGCTCTTGTTCCTTCCTCAGGCATTATTCTCCAGCTGCACTGACCTTCTGTTCCTGAACACGGTGCCTAGCTCATATCCACCTTGGGGACTTGGCACTTGCTCTGTATGGAATGTTCCCATACAGCATTGTGTGGCCAGGAACTTCACGTTGTTCGGGTCTCAGCTCAGATGTCAACTTCTCGGTGAAGCTTTTCCCGACTGACGGCCTAATGTGTTTACTCCCCCGCCTAAATCACATCACCCTGTTTTATTTTCTTCATAGCACATGTTATTACCTGGAATTTTTGTGATCATTCATTTCCTAACTTAACTGTTCCTGTCACTGACATGAAGCTCCATGGGAGCAGGGACCTTGTCTCTCTACCACTGCTACATTCTCAGGGCAAAGTTAAAGATAGATTGTGACAGGAATGGATGGCCCATGAGTATTTTAGGCACAGAACCCACCTAGTGCACCAGCAAGCCAGTTTGAGTTCTTCCTGTTCTGTACAGCGACAATTTGCAAGACGGTTCAGAGTGTAAGCTCTGGAATCTGACCATCCAAGGTCCAAGTCCAGCTCTGCTGCTGCCTAGTTATGCATGACCTTAGTCAAGTTAATTACCTCTATCAGCCTTGGTTTCTTCATTCGTAAAATGGTAATAACAATAATGATTTCCTACCCAGTAGGGTTGTTTTGAGAGTTAAATGCAAATGCCTAGCAGAGTGCTTAACATAATTGGGTGTTAAAATAAGTGTAAGCCATTGTTATGATAATTGCCCCCACTGTTAGACCAGAGAGGCCCTTGTGAACGACTGAGCCCTAAACTAGAAGTCTCTGGGAGGGTGAAGCACAGAAGAGCCAGTTACCTGGACCTGTAATGACAGGATAGTGGACAGCAGCTTTCAGAGACAAGCGATGTGGATCGTGAGAATGTGTGTGTATATGTGTCTGTGAGTGTGCACGTGTTTGAGGAACAAGGTGAATGTTGCAATGAGACTTTTTGCCTCTCAGTCATCCTACAAACTGCGATACTTATAAAATCCAAGGTAGCTTTTAGAGAAAACAGTCATGCCAGACATTCAAATTAACATCCAAACCCTGGGATGTTCTGTCCTCTGCTCCCCTTCATTCTTAAGGTTATATTGGAGCCCTAGAGTCTGAGGAAAGTTAATTTTAATCACTCGTTTTTGTCCCAGATTACTGGGCAGGATGAAGCCTGCTGAGGCTGTCTTGCCTGGGACTAGCTGTCTTAGCATGGATCCTGCCAGCTAGGGAAGCGCATTTTAGCAGCTTTTATAGATCTTTGGGCAATTTAATCTTTCTAAAACTCAGTATTCTTATAGGTGAAGTGGGGGAGAGCAAAGGGAAGAGAAGAGAGCAAATGATACCTCAGTCCTAGGCAGCCACTAACTTAAATGCTAACCATCATCATAGACTGAATTTTTAGGTTTTTAACATATTTTAATCAGTTTATTTCTTAGCTAGTAACTGGTATATGGGCAAGTATTTGTATTTTTGCTACTTCAGAGTATGCAGGTTACTGTTGGAAATAGTTTTCATTATAATGTTTGTTTCCTTTTTCAGAAAAAATTGCCTTTGACGACACTGGCTCAATGCTTGATGGAAGGGTCGGCTATCCTGGGAGATGACACACTTCTTGGGTAAGGTGACACTGTATGTGGGCTTGTGCCAAATTCAGGTACGTTCCCATCTGTAAAAAAGGGACTAGAACTCCTCAGGGAAGCACTGAGGTCACCTGAAGTCAGCTTGGGTACTTGGGTGGAGAAAAAGGAAAGGTAACCTGGGTGAAATCAAAACACTAGCTCCAAAGTTATGTTCTCTGTGTGGAGAGGCAAGTCCCCAGTGGAAAAATTAACATAAAAGCATTGAAGGACAATTGAAATCCCTCGGGCTCCAGCAGTAGCAAATATGAAACCTCCCTGTCCCGGAAGAACAATCCCTGCTGGTTTTGAGCTCACAATGAAACAAACTAAAAATAGAATCATCATGAAGGAGAGTTAGCAGATACAATCCGTAGGAGAATTAGTACCCTAAGAACTAAAAATATTAAAACAATATGAAAGAAAATGTAAAATAATATGCTTAAAATGAAATTTAAAAAATTAAAGACAAAAAATCCTTGACAAAAGTATCAAGCAATATGAAAAAAGAATAGGCAAAATTGAAGAAAAACCAAATAGAACTTTTTTAAAAAAATTGTCCTAAATATATATTTAACAAAACATTTGCCATTTCAGTTTTCTTTACATGTACAATTCAGTGACATTAATTGTGTTTATCATGTTGTTCAACCATCACCATTATCTGTTTCCAAATTTTTCCATCACCCTTAACAGAAGCTCAGTGCCAGCTAAGTTAGTTATCGTTCCCTCCTCCATCCTGCCTGACCCTTGTAACCACTAATAAATGTTGGTCTCTATAAGTTTGCCTATTCTAGATATTTCATATAAATGAGATCATACAATTATTTGTTGTTTTGTGATTGATTTCATTCAGCATAATGTTTTCAAGGTTCATCCATGTGATACATGTATCAGAACTTCCAAGTAGAACTTTTTAAAATTGTATTTATCATAGTTTTAAAACTTAACTGACATAAACTGGAGATTACATACAAAAGAGAATTGGTGGAGTTGAAAACAGGTCTGAAGTCACCACCTAGAATGAGCAGAATGAAGCCCAAGAGATAAGGATGTAGATATTACATTAAGAGTCATGAATGATGAATGATAGAATGAGAAGAGGTTTAATAGGAGTTCCTGAAGAAAAAACAGAGAGAAGGGGAGATTATGGTTGATTTTTTTTTTTTTTCCAGATTTGAAGAAGAGCATGTCTTTAAATTTAGGAAGCACAAAAAGTCCCAATTTAGATAAACATAAAGAAATCCATCCGTGGACATATGTTAGTAAAACTGTGGATTATTAACAAAAAAGAGAAAAATGTAAAAGCAACCAGAGAAAAAGACAGATTACCTATGAAAGAGAAATTAAATGGACAGCAGGCTATTGGTCAGCAAAAATAAAGTGCCAAGAAATAATGGAGGCATATCTTCACAGCAGAAATACAAGAAACCTAGAATTCTATGATAAACTAAATTATTCAAGAATAAGAGCGAAATAAAGATATTTCCAGGCAAAGATTTAGAAAATTTCCTACTTGCATATTCTCGCTTGGGACTATAGCTTCATAGATGAGAATCAGCATGAAACCAGTTCCTAGAGGGCAGAGGTCAGTTCTATCCCTGCTTTCCCACTTTTCCGTCATTTATGACACTGGCCACCCACACAGCATTCTCTCTGTCTGTCCCTAGCTACCTGTGGCTAGGGCAGACCTTACAACCTAAGAGGACACTGTCCTTGGGTTTGTTAATTCACTGGAACGACTCACAGAATTTATGGTATTATACTTATAGCTACAGGTTTTATTATAGTAAGAGGGTATAAACTAGGATCAACATAAGGAAGAGATGCGTGGGCGAGGTTTGGGCAAGTTCCCAGTGTGGAGCTGTCCTGTCTCAGAGAGGGCACGTCATGCTCCCTTTGCCAACCAGGAAGCTCTTTGAGCCTTGGAGTTTCAAGCTTTCATTGGCCAGTCCTGCATGGTAGGTTAATTATGCCTCCTGGAACTAGTTAATATCAGCCTCCCAGATGAGTCATACCTAGTCTGGCCAGCCCCCACTCTCCAGCACAAATCGTCTCAGTGTGGCCTGGAAGCAGGGGCGGATTATCCAATAGACAACATAAGCACAGTGCTTACCTTGCTTACCAGATCATGTATAGTGAACAATTTCACATTTTTTCACCACATCAAAGATTTTGCTTCTATGTATGGCTGGCATCTGTCTCTGTCCCAACCCCACAGCACCTTCCTACAGAATCAAAGCCTGTTTTCAAATTTATAATCCTTGACAGGGTTGGATGACCCAGTAAGCACGGTAAGCATAGGCTTACCGTGCTTACTTACTAATCTGCAATGAACAATTTCACTCCAGAAACAGTTGTTCACTACAGATGATCTGGTAAGCACGGTAAGCACTGTGTTTACCTTTCCTATTGGATAATCTGCCCCTGCCTAGAAGTCCAAGACCAAGGTGCTCTGTTACTCCAAGGTTATTTCTCGGGAGCCAAGGATAAAGGCCACTTTACTTATGGTAAAACTAGATCCTTTACCCCACATCACTGAAAGAAATACTTAAGATTATGTGAACTAGATTACAGCTAGTCCCCAATTTATGACAGGGTTCCATTCTGACAACTCTGTCATAAATCAGTTCTGATGTAAGTCAAATACCTCATTTTTCTCATTTTTTTTAGTTTTGATTATTATTGCCTTTTATTATCAGTATCTTTATAAATCTGATCTTTATTTGTCTTTGGGTGTTGGCATGAGAATGGTAACATCAGCAGATTATGTGCTGCAACATTGTATGCAGTACATATTACTAACAATAAGATGTACAAAACAAATAAAAAACGGTTTAAGTGCAGTTCGTTGTAACTTGAATACAGGAACACATTACCCAATAAACAAGGTACTTTGGGCTTACTTGTGCTTGCTTACTAATCTGTAGTATATGATTTCATCTGTTTTTCACCATATCAAAGATGTGGTGAAACCCACGTGAAATTATGCACTACATTAGTAAGTAGACACAGTTAAGCCTGTGCATACCTTGCTTACTGTAAGCCTGTGTGTACCTTGCCTACTGGTTAATCCAGCCCTGCTTGAGTACATCGTAAGCTGGGGACTACCTGTATATTCAGAAGAAAGGAGTGAAATGCAAGTAGCAAGGTAGAATAAAGCAATTAGTGAATGTGTGAAGAAATATAAATAAGCATTGATTTAAAGAAAATAATAATATAATAATAATTTGGGGGAGTTAAAAGCAAAATGAAACTAAAATAGTAGTTAATAATAACAACAGTGGAGGGGGAAATCATGTTTCAAATGCTTGTATTGTTTGGAAGGAGGATAAAGATACTACATTTAAATTTAAAGTCAAGTGTGAGTAACCACAAAAAGAATAGAAATAGAATGCATGATTTCCAAACTAGTAAAAGAGTTAAAAGGGAAAAGAATAAAATAGAGGGGAAAAAAAAAAAGAAATGTGTCTTAGGCTGGGTTCTCTAGAGAAGCAAAAGTAGTGAAACATATGTATATATATATATTATAGATTGAGAGAGTGAGATTTATCTCAAGGAAATTACACAGTTGTGGAGGCTAGCAAGTCCCAAAGTTAGGTGTTGGCTGGAGGCTTCTCCTGACTCATGTGGTTGCAGGGGCCAACAAATCCTGAATTGGCAGATCGGATGGCAGGCTGCTGGTTCACAGAGCTGCGGAAGATGGCAAATCCCAAAGTTGGCAGATCAGACCACAGGCTGCTGACTTACTGGGCTGCAGAACTGGTGAATCCCAAAGTCGACAGATCAGACAGCAGGCTATTGGCTCACAGGGCTGTGGAGCTGGAGAATCCCAAAGTCAGCAGGTCAGATGACAAGCTGCTGGCTCAAGTCCCAAGAACCAGAGATGAGATGATGAGTGGGAAACAGGATGCAGAGCAAGCAAGTGAGCTTTGCCAGACATCCATGTATACATTGGGTGTAGGCCACACCCCGAGGTAAACTCCCCTTACAACTGATTGGCTGATCACATCAGATCACATCGTGGAGATAATTATATCACAAAATGGGGGATAATTACATCAGATAACAAAAATGGAGGATACTTACATAATATTGAGAATCATAGCCTAGCCAATTTGAGACATAACATTAACTATCACAGTCCACCCCTTGCCAACTTGCAGCTGTACACCATCTCTTTAAACTATACATAATCTCTAAATTAAGATAATTATAAAGTCATACTTCTGCCTAACATGATACAACTAACATGTAGAAAACCAAAAACGCACAAGCCTAATTTTCATCTTATATCTTATGAGTGATGGGATAAGGGAAGGAAGAAAACAAAAATACTAGGTGCCGTCAAGTCGGTTCCTACTAATAGTCACCCTGTGTACAACAGAATGAAACACTGCCTGGTACTGCGCCATCCTCATAATTGTTGCTATGTTTGAGCCCATTGTTGCAGCTACTGTGTCAGTCCATCTCACTGAGGGACTTTCTCTTTTTTGCTGACCCTTCACTTTACCAAGCATGATGTCCTTCTCCAGGGACTGGTCCCTGCTGATAACCTGTCCAAGTATGTGAGACAAAGTCTCACCTCTTTGCTTCTAAGTACCATTCTGGCTGTATTTCTTCAAGACGGATTTGTTCGTTCTTCTGGCAGTCCATTCAATATTCTGCACCAACACCATAATTCAAAGGCATCAGTTCTTCTTTGGTCTTTCTATTCATTGTCCAGCTTTCGCATACATATGAGGCAACTGAAAACACCATGGTTGGGTTGGGCGCACCTTAGTACTTAATGTGACACCTTTGCTTTTTAACACTTTAAAGAGGTCTTTTGCAGCAGATTTGCCCGATGCAATACGTCATCTTATTTCTTGACTGCTGTTTCCATGTGTGTTTATTGTGGATCCAAGTAAAATGAAATCCTTGACAAATTCAATCTTTTCTCCATTTATTGTTACTTATTGGTCCAATTGTGAGGATTTTTGTTTTCTTTACGTTGAGGT